CCAGAGCCCGGTGTGTAATACTCGCACAGTGAGTGTTTGCTGAGGAAGTTGTGTGCGAGCAGGTGGCCTCTCCGGGCAGCTGGGCCTCGTGTGGGGCTGAGTGGAAGGCCCTGTGGGGGCCGGGGCTCTTGGGCTGATAATATGTTAGGGCTGTGGGTCCCCCATCTCCTGAGTACCCCCTGCTGCCTCCCAGCAGATGCTGTGCATGCGAGGAGCATCACAGGCAGGGACTCTCAGGGTCAGAGTCCCCAGGAGCCCTGGCACAGGGGGGGGAAGGCTGAGGCCTGAATCGTGGGGGCTGGGTGCAGATGTCCTTCAGATGCTGGCCCCTCCCCCCCCACCGGCGTCTCGCCGTCCAGCTCATGACCCGTCCTCTGCTCGGGCTGCTGGGCGTGTCACGTGAGAACCTGCCACACTGTCCTCGTTCACCCGCTGTCTGTTCCCTGTGTCTTCAGTGGCTTCTCCTGGAGCCAGGCTGGGTCCTGGGCTGCCGCAGACAGCAAAGCAAATGGGGGCTGTGGGCCTGCGTCAGCGGCACCTGCAGATGAGTGTAGACTTATAGTGGTCATTTTCCTGTAGACCCGTGTCACCTCTAGGAATCCTCTTCCAGCACCCTGAGGAGGACCCGTGAGGTCCATGACAGGAAAGAGCAAGATCCATGAGAGAACGTGACAAGATGCTACGTTCAATTTGTGGGGAGCATCAGGGAGGTTCCTCAGGGGAAATGGTGGGGGAGGGGCATCAGCACGTGCAAAGGTCCTGGGGCAGTCAGACCGTGGGCATTTGAAGCCCTAAAAGGAGGTCCCGGTGGCAAAGACGAAGGAAGAGCAGAGGGAGAGGGACCCTTGCTGAGTGGTTGGATTTCATCACAAGCCCCTGCCGACTTTGAGGCAAGACAGCAGCAGGTTCTGACTTAGGCTTTCGGAGGAACCTCTGACTGCTGTTTGGAGCCAGATTCGAGGGTGTTAGGGTGCAGTTGGGAATCAGGGTGGGAGCAGAGACCAGCAGAATGCATGGGCTTGGGTGTACTTGCAGGACATCCCAGTGCGTGGTGTGCCTGCCACAGGTCCCCTCGGCCGTGAAGGAGCCTGGCTGGCTAGCGTGAGAGGTGTGGGGCACACAGCTCCGTCCGCAGGGCTGGGGGGCCTTGGCCGGGCTTCCCGCAGCCCTTCCTGTCACCTGCCTCCCTGGCCACCCTTCCCTTGCTGCTCGGCCAGTTGGGCCCTGTTTCTGGGTCTAACTGGGCAGAGGCCACCCCCTCCTCTCAGATCGCCCCTTTACATGGCCCCTTATGGACCCTGTTCTGTGCCCCAGGGGAAACATGGCCGTGGGAGGGCCACCCTGCTTCACCCCAGGACAGCGGGGTTCTCGGGGGGAAACCGTGCTGTGGGAGCCAGGAGGAACCGCTCCCTGTGGGCTTGGCATGGCATCCTCCAGGCCCCCTGTTTGGGGAGGGCCTTCTCCCGGTGAGTCTCCCGAAGAGGGGCCCCACAGGGTCAGCAGGGTGCTGGAGGATGGTGGGGCGCAGGTGCCCGGAGCGGGGTGGATCCCAGCAGAGTGGGTGCACAGGAGGGCTCTGAGCACTCCAAATAGTTACTGAGCCAGTGGATGCCAGCACTCCGCAAACCTCAGTGCCTCTCACTGGTTAGTGACAAAACCCAGCGAGCCACAAACTCCCCAGGCAGGTGGTGTGGCCGGGGCTGTGCAGGCTCTCTTGAGGCAGGAGGGTCTTCTGACCTTGGGCCTCTCAGCCTCCCCGTGTGCTGTCTGGACAGGGAGACCTGCTGCTCACGCCCAGTTGTGCTGTAAGCCCGTCTGTGTCTGGGGCCTCTGGCTGCCGGACTGACCTTGGCCTGAATTTTGGGGGCTCAGGCTCAGCCCTGTGTCCCCAGGTCTGATGAGGCAGCCAGGACCAGAAAGGAAGCTGCTGGGTCCTCCCGAGCACCTCCCTGCCCCCACCCCAGAGAGAAGGTTCCCAGCCAGCAGGGCTCCCTCCAAGCCAGCTGTCCTTACTGCCCGTGTCCCTGGGAGGGTGGGCCTTTGTCTGGGTCACTTGTTCATCACAAGCGTCCCGGTGCACGAGGCTCATTAGTGGAGCAGCAGGACGCAGATCTGTCACGGGTCACCGCTGACCACGGCCCCCCAGGGCTCGACAGCCTGCTTCAGTCCCGCCCGGGCCCGGTGGGCCAGCCCCAGCAGATTCGTTTGGCGACTTTGTTTGCTAAAAAGGGGAAATGTGATCATCACCTTCCGGCAGATGCTTGTGGAGGAGCCTGGTCCACAGTCTTGGCCTTCGGCAGCCCTGCCAGTGTGGAGGGGTGTCTGTTCGGGCTGTGTTATGTTCTGTGGGGGTTCGTGGTTGGGCCGCGGCACGTGTCCAGGGCTGCTGTGGCCACATCCCCCCTGTACCTGCCTCTCCCTGCAGGGCAGTTGGGGCATCTCACCAGGTACCTGTGTCCTATTTGGACATGGGGAGCCTAGCCCAGCCCAGCCAGGCAGCCGGCTCTCTGTCCCTCACTCCTTCATGGTCCATCTGTTCCCCGTGGGTGGTGACCCCTCCAGGAGATGATAAGAGAACCTCCAGAAGTCAGGGCTGACATCCAGAAGGTGCGGGATGGGGGGCGGAGCGGAGAGGGGGTGAGCCCCGTGTTGTCATCGGGCTGTGACAAGAGTGGGTCCACTGCGTGCCCAGTTTAGAAACAAGACAGAGCCATTCCCAGTGTTACTTGGGTCCCCATCTGCAGAAGCCTTAGGCCCGAAGGAGATGCCCTAGGGTTTCCAGATGGACTCCGTTGCATTTTATCATGATACAAACGTTTGGTAATTGGGTTTGCAGAGGACTCAGCATAGTCCTTGAGAATTGAAAAAGTTGCCCGCAGCCAGCTGTCATTCCCCGAATGTTTGTGGGGTGACCAAGTGGCGGGGGCGAAGGATTTGCCTGCAAGGACAGCCAGGGTCCTGTGCTCCTGGGCGGTGCCCACTGACCAGGGTTCGCGCCTTAGGAACGGTGCGGAAGGCAGGGCCTGCTTGTGGCTACTGCGTCCCCTGGCTCAGCTGCTTGGTCGGAGCCTCGGAGCGGGCCTTGGGTCACATAAGAGCTCCGTGGGATAGTGTGTGTGTGGGCTCCATGGTGTGGATGGGCTGCAGGGTGAGCAGGAAGGCTGGCCGGGCAGCGTGGGGACACCCAAAAAAGGCTGAAGTGGGGCAGCCTGACTGTCAGCATGGTGTCCCGGCCGAGAGCCTGGCTGGGGCCGGCCCCCTGAGCTCAGGCCCTGCTGTGGACCGGATGTCTGCGTGCCCCCAAAAGCATATGGCAGGTTAGGAGGTGGGGCCCCTGGGAGGTGATCAAGGTTAGACAGGGTCGTGAGGGTGGGGCCCCCAGGGTGGGGTGAGTGCCTTCAGGAAAAGAGGAAGGAACGCCCAAGCCGTTTCTCTCTGCCGCGTGAGGCCGTCACAAAGCGGCGTGCACCAGGCTCGGCCAGCCCCCTGACCGCAGACTTGCAGCCTCCGGAACTGGGAGGAATCAGGGTCCGCTGTTCGGGTCCCCCCAGTCCATGGTATTTTGTCCTGGCTGCACGAGTTAAGATATACCCACCTTCGTTATATGTGGTCTCAGAAACGGGAGCCCTCACCTGCGTGTAGATGCTAACTGGTGGTCACCCCTGGGATGGACGGAGGACGGACACAGATGGAGGCGTAGGGGCCTCTGCGTGGCCTGCAGTGTGCTGTCTCTGGATCTGGGTGTCCAGTGGGCAATGCGGTGAGGCCTCCACTTAGAGCTGGGCCCCCGTTTGGGTTCCGCTCCGTGGGAGTTCTTTCCTGCTGTTGCACCAGAAACTGAGGGCCTTAAAACAGCACGTTTATTCTCTTCCAATTCCGGAGGCCAGAAGTCCAGCAGAATGAGGGTCACACGTTGGCAGGGCTTTGTCCCCGCTGGAGGATCTCGGGGAGAATCTGTTTCCTTGGCTTGTCTGGCTCCGGGAAGCCGCCCGCGATCCTGGGCTGCTGGCCCCTTCTGCTACCCTCGAGGCCAGCAGCCTGGCACCTGCAAGTCTCTCCTCTCCCTGACCTCTGACCCTCCTGCCTCGTCTGAGTTTACAAAATGGTGATTACGCTGGGCCTGGATAACCAGGAGAGCCCCCCATCTCAAGGTCCTTCGCTTGATCACGTCTGCAGGGTTGGTTTGTCCATGCAGGGGACATAGTCCCGGGTCCCCGGAATTAGGTTGGGACCTCTTTGGGGACCATCAATATCACATATTACAGTTAAAAACCACAACTATGTGGCCCTTGGTTTCCACTCTCCTGGAGTAAACGTCAGGTCCTTCTGGCTCTGCACGTCCTGCCCCCGACCCCATCTCATCTGTGACTCCTTCCCTCAGCTCCCAGGGCCCTCCTGCCTCAGGGCCTTTGCAAGGCTGTTGCTGAGCCTGCCACCTGCTTTTCTCCTAGGAATCTGTCGCCTTGATATTCGTCCCATCCAGGTCCCCACTCGGACTGCAGGAGCTCCCTGCCTGCCCTCCCACTATGCTCCTGGGTCATCAGCACCCGGGTGGTGGGAGCTGTCCATCTGCCCCTGGCAGGGGCTTGGCTCTGTGGCTGAGGCCTGCGGACCACACCTGGTGCGGTTGTGTGTCCGGGCGATGCCCGTTGGGTGACCGGGTGCCACCAGGATCCCTTTCTCTGGGGCATCCTGGTGGTGGCGGTGATGTGGTGAGATGCCTTTCGTGCATGTGACCTGCACCTGTTTGGTTTAGTACAGGACTCCTCACTGTGGCTTCGCCCCAGCTCTCACCCCCACCGTGTAAGAGGAGCCCCGATTAATAGTCTCCCTGCAGGTGTCCCCCCAGAGAGGAGCAAGAGAGCTGCTACGTCCCAGCAGGTGCAGACAGGGCCCTCTGTCCAAGTGCTCTGAAGACCAAGCCTGCCCTCGGCACCTCTGCCGCTGGAGGGGCAGAGCGGGTCCGAGCGCAGGTCACCTGGTGGTTCTGTCCCCTACAGAGGAGGAGCTCCGGAAGCTGAGAGAAGAAACCAACTCAGAAATGCTTCGGCAGGAGCTGGACCGGGAGCGGCAGCGGCGGATAGAGCTGGAGCAGAAGGTCCAGGAAGTGCTGAAGGCCAGGTGAGGAGGGGCCCAAGGCCCCCCGCTGCCCGCTCAGGCACTTCCTTGCCCGCCAGCCCCCCACCGGACGCAGGCACCCCCTCCCGTGCCATCCCGCTGCACGCAGTTACCCCTGGGGTCGCCCACCACAAACGGTCACCCTCCTCCCTGCAGGGTCCCTCCTTCCTGGGGGGTGACAGGTGCCGTCCCAGCTTCTGGAGGGCATGACGTGGGCCCTGCTGTGGGACGGAGCTGCCCCCGTGCGTGGCCTCCTCTTGCACCCCACGCCTCTGCCCACACGAGCTGGGCCGCTGCCTCGTGGTGCTGCCGGTGAGGAGCGGGTCCTTCCCGCAGGGTATTTGTAGGTTCTGAGAGCCATGCTCTCCCTGTCTTGATAGAATCCCCAGGAGGCTCCCTGTCCGTCCACACGGCCTGCAAGCTGGTGGCCCGGCAGACGAGGCCACTGCTGGGACAGCCCAGCCCGAGCTGGTTCCTCTGTGCGGTGGACGAGGGCACTGTTACTTTCCAGTGTATTCTCCGGCTCAGGCTCTGAGGACAGCCACACTCCGGGCGCCTCGGTGCATGGGGTTCAGTTGGTGGAAAGGAAGTGCCTCCTTGTTCCACGGCCATACGCTGGCTTCTTGTCAGGTCTTACCCTCAGCCCCGGGAGCTGGTGACATCTGGTTCTCTTTGGAGGAGGGCTCTTTTGTTTCCTGCTCTGGAGGCATTTTTGACGACTCCTGTGTGCTTTTGGGCAGCCTGTCCCCGCAGGCCTGTTGTGGGGTTCTCTGGGACTCCGTGTGGGGGCCTTGAGTTTGGTAGGGGAGGGACGTACCCTACTTTGACATTCTGCCCCGGCTACGAGGCCAGCAGCCCTTTCCAGACACCAGCATGTGGGCCTCAACCCGCACATTACCTGATGTTGATCCTTCGCACATGGAAATCTGTGGATGTTTTCATTATGAGAAGAGGTGCAGCCGGGGACCTGACCCACGGATGCTGAGAGATCCAGGGACTGGCGCTGTCCCAGGCGTGTGGCCGGCTGTGGGTGCCTTCTCCACCCGCCAGCCACAGCCAGCCTTCCGTGGCATGTCTCAGCACCACGTCCCCCACAGAAGGCGCTCTGTCCGGTGCAGATGTGCGATTCTGTCCAGCTTTGCCCAGAGCCCTTGGCTGGAAGTGGCACGTCCCCTGTGGTGTTGAGAGGTGCTCGCCCTGAGCTGACCTCTCTCCGTGTAGGGCCCACGGCTTCTGCTTCTCACCCTCCTGCCCAGCCCGGCCTCCTCACTCCAAAGCCCCTTCCAGTTCTGAGGACTCAGAGGGACCAGCTGGGTGGTCACAGTAAAGGAACAGCAGGCCAGGACCGAGGAAGCTGAAGGTCCTGGGGCACACTGTGGGGCTGGTCCCCTGCTGTATGTGGGGTGGGGTTTAGGAACCTTCTCGAAATGGAGACCTGAAGGGGAAAGTACAGGGAGAAGCAGGTTCCATGCAAATGACGACCTCTTCCTTTGTCACCTTGATGTCTGTTTGGGGTGGCCGTGGGCCGTCCCCGGTGGGTGAGCATATGGAGGGGGACCCCTTTCACACACACATATGCACACACACCCCAAGCTGCAGGTGAGCTGCAGAATTGAAACGTGATAATTAGAGTTTATGTAAACCTCTGTTTTGGTTTTAAAGAAAATTCCCGGAAAATCACCTTGATTGAAGCTTATGTGTTAGTAGGCAAAGGCCTTCTCTTGTTAGGGGTCCAAAAGCAGCACGGAAACACCGCCCTTCTGACTTGTACCGTCTGTGGTCAGGCCGTGCCTGCCACCGCCCCTCTGCCTGTCCCGCTCCTGGGCTCGGCTGGCACACTGCATTGAACCTCGCTGGGGGCCATGGTGAGGGATGAAAGGGACCCTGGTGACGGTCTAGTGCCCCCAGCCCGGGGAAAGGGGTCGGGGGCAGAGTGACCCCGGGGCCCGGCCCTGGCATCGTGCTCCTTGCAGGCTTCGGTGCCCTCTGGCCTCAGGTGGCTGCAGGCCAGAAAATCTGACTTTTTTTTTTCTTTTTTATTATTTTATTTATTTGACAGAGACACAGCGAGAGAGGGAACACAAGCAGTGGGTAGTGGGAGAGGGAGAAGCAGGCCTCCCGCAGAGCAGGGAGCCCGATGTGGGGCTCGATCCCAGGACCCTGGGATCATGACCCGAGCTGAAGGCAGACGCTTAACGACTGAGCCACCCAGGCACCCCCAGAAAATCTGACTTTTATTTTATTTTATTTTTTTAAAGATTTTATTTATTTATTTGAGAGAGAGAATGAGATAGAGAGCATGAGAGGGGGGAGGGTCAGAGAGAGAGGCAGACTCCCCGCTGAGCAGGGAGCCCGATGCGGGACTCGATCCCGGGACTCCAGGATCATGACCTGAGCCGAAGGCAGTCGCTTAACCAACTGAGCCACCCAGGCGCCCGAAAATCTGACTTTTAAAAAGCAATTCAGGGCTTTTAATCCCGGGATCGAGTCCCGCATCGGGCTCCCTGCTTAGCGGGGAGTCTGCTTCTCCCTCTGACCCTCCCCCTTCTTGGGCTCTCTCTCTCAAATAAATAAATACAATCTTAAAAAAAAAAAAAAAAAAAACAATTCAGGCACGTTCCACTCCAGACTCGTTTGGTTGATCACTGAACATTAGCATAGGTTGTTCAGAAACATTTCAGAGAATCCAGTTGTTGGAAATACAAGGCCCCTTTTTTCTGATTCAGTGAGGTCACCCCGCTCACTTCCCGCCTTCTCGGGAGCTGTGGTTGGGACGGTGCGCCCCGAGTGTCGTGGGCTGGAATGTCCTGGCGCACCGTCTGCCCTGCTGTCCGTCTATCTCCTCTGTCCAGCGCACGAAACAGGCACTTGCACATTCCGTATTTGGGATGATGGGAGGGGGGTACAGTTCCTGCAGCTCGCAGCCCAAGAAGGTCTAAATACCTGTGTGTCTCTAGTAGGAATTGTGTTAGAAAAAACACACAGCCAGTGACCGTGCACACCAAATAGTAATAAGCACAGGACCCCAGGAAGCCCCCACCTGTGTCCCTCAGGCATGCGAATCCTCTTGGTGCCGAAGCCCCAGGCTTGGGTTGTGGGGCCAGTTTGTTAGTGGCTTCTCAGGTGAGCTGCATCCTCCAGAACCTCCAAGCTGGGCACAGACATCCTGGTCCGGAGGCCATGACTCCTGCCCGGGAATGGAAGGCACTCGGCCGGGTCTTGGCGTCTCCCGTGTGCCCTGGGCCCCTCTCCTGTTCCCAGTAAACCCCCACTTGCCGGTGGTCGCTCTGGGTATGGACAGTTGCTTGGGCAGCCTGGCCACAGGGAGGGGTGGGCGTGGAGGCCTGGCCCCCTCCCCCTGGCCCATGGCGCCCTTCAGGACTCTACGTCTGTGTTGTCTTCCCCGTCCATTGCTTAGCGAGGCTGCAGGCCTTGCCCACCCTGCTTGTCCCCAGCTTGTCTTCCGTGCTCTAGGTGACATTCACGGGTTTCAGGCCCGCAAATCAGGTCGGCTCGTGGAAGGGTGGCATGAAATCCCGCTGTGTGAGCAGAGCAGAAACCTCGCCCCCTCCCTCACTGCAGCTGAGGGTGCACTCGGGCTGGGGGTCTCCCAGCCCTGCCATCTCTGTCCTGGAAGAGTCCTCTGTGCCCCTGCAAGACCCTGCTGAGGTTTGCCTGGGGCACCGCTTTTCCCACATCCTGGGGTCCCTGCTGGACTGGGAGCCCCAGGAACAGCGTGGTGCGTCCGTCGCCCAGGCCAGTGCAGAACAAGGCGGGCGGGTTGGCCGTGGCATGAGGTGTGGCCTGGCCAAAGCTCCACCCAGGGGCCGGGGGCTGGGCCAGCTGCATCAGGCTCTGTAGCTGAAAGCCGGTTCAATAGTCAGGGTCTGGCAGGTGGACAGAAACTCCAGGAGAGCGCTCTGAGGCCGGTGAGTGCTGTGGTCTGTGGTGGCTGGGCTGTCGGGGCAGGAAGCCAGGCAGGTGGCTGGCACGGGCCGAGCTGGGACCTGGGCACAGCTGTCCAGCGCAGGGGGTCACCCAGCCTGTGGTCTTGAGAGCTGCTTGCTGAACATGTCCACTGATGGGCATCGTTTTATCAACAGGCTGGTTAATTAGTGTAAGGGCTGTTCGTTCTGAACTTAACAATGAAGAAGCAGATGTGTTCATAGGAAAGGAAAGAGTGGTACATTTATGAGACTTTTTTTATTTGATTATTGAAAAAAATCAGAAGAGAGCATGCCCACCGTGAATGTGGCTCTAAGCTGCCCGGCCTGCTCTGTGAGCAGCGTCTGAGTGCTGAGCTCCCAGAGGGGGCCCCGCGAGCTGGAGCAAATGCTCGTGGGCGGCAGGCTCCCTGTGAGTGCTGGCACCTTCCATAGCCTGCACTCACACCGTGTTTGGAACTAACGGGATTCTTGCTTCTTCTTCCCCGTCTTTAAGATCCGAGGAGCAGACGGCCCAGCAGCCTCCCAAGGGGCAGGCCCAGGCCAACAATGGAGCAGGTAGGCCCCGCGGGCAGCCGGGCCGGGCGGTGGGGTGCGTGCTGGTCCTGCGCCCGTCAGACTGGCACAGGAGTCTGCCCGTCACAGCGAACACGGTCGTTCAACGAGACGTGGTTTTATTTTCCCCTAAGAAGGCCACGTGGCCCCTGTTTCAGCCCTTCCCGACAGACACGTGGTGTCACTCATAACATTGGCTTCGTGGCTACTGACCTGGTGGCCCGTGTCCAGAGGCTGGCGGTCCTGACAAGGGACAAGCGGGCAGTGGGGGCCGCCGTCCGCGGTCAGGATGTGCCCCGGCCCTCCCTGGGTCAGGACGCACAACCCCTTTCTCTGCACCTTTTCCTGCTGCCCTGAGCCTGGTCTTTGTCTTACTCCCCCGTCTGTCCTTCCTAGAGCTGTGCTGGCAGGAAAATTGGATTTTCTGTCCAGCTCTCTAGGGGCCCCAATCCGTGGTGGGCCAGGCCCTCCCGTCTCCCAACCGAGGGCCCGTTCCCACAGGCTGACCCCTCTCAAGCACCCCCTGCCTGTGCCGGCAACTCACAGCTACACCAGAAGGGCCTTAGGGTTAAGCCTGTCTCATATACAGGTGAGGAAACCGAGACCCAGGAGGGGAAGCCTCTTCAAGGCGCACCTGCCACGTGGAGGCCCGGCTCGGACCGCAGTCAGGTCCTGCCTTCCACAGGGGGAGGTGGCCCCTTCCTGAGGACCCCAGTGCGGGATCAGCAGGCCGGCCAATGCAGGTGCGGGATTGGCAGCTGTGCCCCTCGGGTCATGGGCTCCACGCCCCAGACCAGGGATCCACGCCAGGAGCAGCACAAGAGACCCCAAGGCCCCCGCTGTGCCCCGTGATTCATGAGTCTCCTGCACACATGGGAAGTGTCAGAGGAGTGGAGGGTGGAAGACCCCAGCTCTCCGGGTGCCCAGGCTGAGGTCCATTCTGTAGCGGTGGTCACTGGCGCGATGGGCTCTACGTGGGCCGAGGGAGGGGACGGGTGCTCTGTGCGGTGCTCCCCACCCTGTGGCCAGGGCGGGCAGCCGAGGGGTTCTGTGGTGCCTGGAGCCCGTCTGCTCGGGCAACACGCCCGGCCCAGACCTGGGGCTCGGCAGACTGCAGCCCCATCTGACTTCACGTGTTTAAATGTTTTTACATTTCTAAATGGTCGGAGGAAATCAAAAGGGTGTGGGTTTCACACTTCAGCTTCCATGGTATGGTTTCATGGGAACACGGGCAGGCCTGTTAGATTCCGTCCTGTCCACGGCTGCTTCGCGGCCATCGAGGTGGCCGTCTGCCCACCCCCGACCAGCCCCGCGCTGAAAACACTCGCGCCCCAGGTAGGGGTGAGCAGCCCCCAGGCCCTCCCCGTTCCTTCCCTCCCTGAGAGGCCTGCCTCTTGGGCTCTGTGTGCACAAACCTCAGCCCTGTGGAGAGCACCAGCCTTGTGACCACCTCCGCCCCGTCCCTCTCCTTACTCGTGGCGGGACAGCACCCCCTGCGGGCGACGCGGTTTCCTCCCGGTCTTCTGAGTCTGGGATGTGGGTCCCTCTCGAAGGTCTTGGTCCTGGTGAGCAGAGGCCACTTCCTTCACTGGGGCCCCCACCAGAACACAGCCCACGGCACACACACCCCCTGGCCGGTCCTCTGGTCCCCGGGCCCCCGGGAGTGAGCCCCCCGCCAGAGAAAGGGAGGGTGATGCAGACCCCAGGGCCAGGGATCCAGTGGAGGGCAGCTCGGCGCGGGTGTGACCACGGAGACCCCGTGTGGTCTGCGGTGACCGCGGGCCTCGCCGTGGAAGCGGGTCAGGCTCCGTGTCGGGGAGCGCGTGTTCACACCCCTCCGTCGGGGTTCGTTCGCCCCCACCCGCCTGGCCTCACCGCGACCCTCGTCCCCACAGACCGGCGGAGCCAGGGGCTGTGCCCCCGCGTCCAGAAGTGGTTCTACGAGAAGTTTGGGGAGTACGTGGAGGATTTCCGGTTCCAGCCTGAGGAGAGCACCGTGGAGACGGAGGAGCCCCTCAGCGCCCGGAGGTGGGGGCCCTCGTGAAGGTGGGGGGGCGGCCACCGGGACGTCAGAGCCAGGCCGGTGTCCAAGTGCCCAAGTGGCTGCGGCCAGGGGTGCTCCCGGGGCCGGCCAAGCCGCCTTCCTGGGGACGGGGCCTCCTCCCCGGGGGAGGGGTCTCCTTCCTGGGGGAGGGGCCTCCTTGGGGTGGCGAGGGCAGCCGGCAGGGCTCCATGGCGGGTGGCACTGCCGCGTCCCCCCGCTCAGCGCTCCTACTTGTGCTTTGTGATCCACGCCGTGTGGGGACAGTAGTCTGGGGGCCCAGCGCCCACGACCCAGGCCTTCCCGCTCCCTGTGCCAGGCCCTGTTGTAGGCTCTGGGGGACTCAGGTTCTGGGCACGTGGGCAGGAGACCAGGGATGGTTCTGTAGGTGAGGACGCCCCCACCCCAAGTTAGGGAGCAGTGGCGACGTGGCCCCTGGCGTGGCCCCTGCATCCCCGGTCACACTGTGCTCCCCACGTGCCAGCAGAGCTCCGTGGTGGGGGCAGCGGGGGCAGCGGGGACGCAGGGCACAGGAGCTGGTGCTCACCTCTCTCTCTCTCTCTTTCTTAGGTTGACGGAAAACATGAGACGACTAAGTGAGTCCCTAGCGTGTCTGTGAGCGGCCATGGGAGCCGGTGGGACCCCTGAGCCGCGAGCGCGTGGTCAGTGTTGGCGGGGGGCGGCTCTGCAGTCCTGAGCTCAGCGGGACGTCTTTTCAGAAAGGTGTTCCCTGGGAGTTCTTAGGAAGAAGGCTCCCGCTGGGAGCATGTCCGGGGCCCCGCCCCGTCCATCCAGAGCAGGACAGGATGGGGCCAGCGCTGCCCGCCCGGCCCTGAGTGGGGGGCTCAGTTTCCCTCCAGGCCTGGGAGCCCCCGTGAAAGGTGGTGCTTTCCCAGATATTTGCCAGAGCCCAGGCGATGCCGAGGAACCATGCCCCCCCCCCCCCCCGGTTGCCCCTTTCTTATGTCTGCGGCTCAGGCCTGAGGGGCAGGGATCAGGTAGCTGGTGTGTCCCCGCGGGGACGGTGGACAGCGCGCAGCACCCGGCGTGGCCGGGGAGCACCAGCAGAGGGTCAGGCACACGAGGAGCCTGAGTCGTTCGGGGCTCCCTTTGCTGGTTTGGCGCCTCCCCCCCACCCCCACTGCTGCCCCCCGCCCTCCGGGTGTGCCCGAGCTCTGGCTTCATCGCAGTCTGTTCTGTCCCCAGAGCGTGGTGCCAAGCCCGTCACCAGCTTCGTGAAGAACCTCTCTGCCTTATCCGACTGGTACTCCATCTACACGTCTGCCATCGCCTTCACTGTGAGTGCCCCTGGGTACCCTGCCGTTTCCCAGGGACACACGCGCCTTAGCTTCTGTCTGGAAAGTGGGTACCGTGTCGCTACCCAGCCCCGGGGTTGCTGCAAGGATTAGGCGAGGGCACTGGGGGCGCCAGGGGCCAGCCCGTGTCTGCACACAGACAGCCCAGTGGCAGCGTTCTCAGGAAGAGGCCTCTGTCCGCGCTTCAGTCACCTTTCTGGATGAGTCAGGAAGATGACCGTGGGGAGGCTTGTCTGCCCAGGGGGGCCCCGCGCTCCTCCCACTGGGTGCCTGGGGGAGGCTCCTGGCAAATGCCCTGTGGCCTGGGGGCCGAGCTGAGCCTCTGCGAGCCAGCAGTCCTGGGGAAGGGTGGGAGAGCAGTGCCTGGCATCGGGGTGTGTTCTGGGGAAGACGGACAGGGCTGCTTGGCCTGAATGGTCCCCTGGCCGCCGTCCCCAGCCCCGCACAAGGAGACCCTCTCGTCACTGGAAGGAGGACACAGGTCGCCCACCTGCCTGCCAGGCCCCGAGGCCAGAGGGGGGTGGCCGCAGCTCCCAAAGTCCCCATCTCTGCATTCTGGAGGTTCTGAGACCACCTTAGAGCCCACAGGCTGGCTCCAGCCCCGGGGAGGAGACGGGCATTTTGCATACACATAGAGAGAGCAGGACTCAGTGGCCAGGCCCCAGCCCCGCCTTCACCCCGGGGCCCCGCCCTCACCCTGAGGCCCCACCTTCACCCCAAGGCCCTGCCTTCACCCTTCAGGAATCCTCTGCTCCCTGAGGCCTGGGGTACCTGGGTCCTGCCTATCATTGCCAAGGGATGTGCCTGCCATTCAAACCCACCTTCCAGGCCTCTGCCTGAATCCCACTGCATTCCCTTCTCTGCCCCTTTCTGAGCGTCTGCTCTGTGCCAGGCTGGTGGGCCCAGAGTGAAGGGGCTCAAGCCGCACTGGGCCTGGCACACAGCACGTAGGGGGTTCTCGGCCGGCAGTCGGTCACCTCGCTCGGCTGTGCTGAGTCCTGGTGGTGCTGCGGGCCCCAGCATGGGGGAGCGACCCCCGGGGCTGGCAGGGGCCTCTGCTCTCCTCTGCCCATCCCAGGCCACATCCAGTGGCTGCCTCCCTGGGGCGCCCCCCTCTCTACACCCCCAAAGCAGCTCCTCCCAGGGCTTCTCTGTCATGCGTTCCCTCCTTTGGGAGGACACTGGGGGCCTGGGCTCCCCACCTCCCAGCATGGCTGGCCTGCCTGGTGGGGCGGGGGGCAAGGGGGAGAGGGCAAGGGGGCAGGATGTGGCCTGTCAGGCTGCCTGACTGTCTCTCTCCTTCCGGCTTTCTCTCCAAACCCGCAGGTGTACATGAATGCCGTGTGGCATGGCTGGGCCATCCCCATGTTCTTGTTTCTAGCAATTTTGAGGTTATCCCTCAATTACCTCATAGCCAGGTAGGTGAGCTGCTTACGCGGCAGGGCTGTCTCCCTACGACACACAAAGCCGCGGCACGCCTGAGCCGGGGCTGCCTCTCACACGGGGGTTTTGGGAGCGGTTGTCTGATAGGCTAGGCTCCCGAGCCCCCAGGAGGATGCCCACCCCCACTGGTCTGCGGGAGCCAGCAGTGGGTGGTCATCAGACTCCCCAGCGGCTCTTTGTCTCAGAGGCCCACCTGTACCTGCAGGGAGTCACCCCAGCCACTCCTATTTGCCGATGACATCCCCGGCTTGCTGGGCCTGCAGTCTTTGTGCCCTGGGAGGCCCTGGGGTTCAGAGGGAGGGTCCCTGCAATCACCAAGCCCAAGCAGCATCCTCTCCGTGCTCTGTGAGCACCCTCCGGGGGCCTCTGTGGAGAACCCCTCGTCCCCAGCTGCCTGGTCGGTCTGCATCTGTGGCTGCACCAGCAGCGAACCTCAGCCCCACGGCAGGCCTGAGGAGGGCCCCTGCAGTCCGATTTTTTTTTTTTTAGATTTTATTTATTTATTTATTAGAGAATGAGCATAAGCAGGGGAAGGGGCAGAGGCAGAGGGAGAAGCAGACTCCCACTGAGCAGGGAGGCCGACATGGGGCTGGATCCCAGGACCCCGAGATCATGACCTGAACTGAAGACAGACACTTAACTGAGCCGCCCAGGCGCCCCTCCTGCAGTCCGATTTGTACTCAGCTGTTCCACAGTTCACACTTTCACGTACAGTTTTCCTGGGTGCATCTCTCTGCCTGCTTAAGTTGGTTCATTTGGAAATGTTTTTTGTAGGGAAGAATATGTTTACATACCCAGGAAAGGGTCATCTGTGCCCAGACCAGGTGTGATTCTAGCTAAAGTACTTGCTGTTACTATTTCACTGAGTTCTTTTGAAAGACCTATCTGTTCCACCTCTGGGCCCCAGGGGAGGGGCCTGTGAGGGTGACCTTGAACTGTCCATCCTCAAGAACCAGGGAGCAGCCCTGGAGGTCTTGGCTGCAGAGGGGTTCTGAAGCCCCTTCTGTCCCACGCTCCTTCCCATCGGGGGCACAGGGCTGGGGATTCGATGTCGTCCCTCTGTGAAAGGCGTGTGATGGTCTCCTTACAGGGGCTGGAGGATACAGTGGAGCATCGTGCCTGAAATCTCTGAACCAGTGGTAAGTCCTGGAAGGGCGAAGGTCTCCGTGTCCACCCGGTCAGCTTCCCCGAGTGTCCAGATGCAGCTGGGTGGATGCCTGGGGGAGCCCTGCCTGGCAAATGGAGTCAGGGAGCAGAAGGCCAGCCGCCCCCAGCACAGAGCCCTGGGTGGCCACACTCTGACCCCCTGCCAGCCGACACCCCCAGCGCCCCTTGCTGGCCCCGGCTTGGCTGCAAGGGAGGCAGGTTGCTGTGCCCCAGCCTGTCCTCACCCCTCCCAGTGGGGATGATATGCTACAGGGAGGGCACCTGGGGGCCTCCCGGACCAGAGGATGAGTAGCGCAGGGATCAGCAAGCTGCGATCTGCTGGGCCCCAGCATCTAGGAGGCCTTCGGGAGGTTCTTGTTGAATGAACTCAGACAAACAGGAGGAGGTCACGGCCCCCTTTTGCCTCAGTTTCCCTCCATGCAAAGCGAGGGGTGGAGGGCTACGTGGTCTTGGACGCACCTTTGCAGATGAGCCGTCGAAGCGCGACTCCCTGCTGGCTTGGGGGCTGCCACTGCCCGCCCACCCTCTCGGGCACCAGGGGGGCGTCCTCTGGGACAGCCGGCCCCTGCTGTGGGGGGGAGGGGGGGCAGAGCGACCTGCTCCTGGGGCTGCAAGGCCTCTGGGCTGCTAAATTGTGGTGGAAATTCTCTCTTCCCTTTGGTTGCAGGAGCCTCCAAAGGAAGACTTGACTGTGTCTGAGAAGTTCCAGCTCGTGCTGGATGTCGCCCAGAAAGCCCAGGTGCTGCTCTTGGGCTCTGGCCCGGGGACGTCTCTGTGCCAGCCTGCCCCCCAAACCCCAGGCCTGGCTTGTCTCTTGTCAGCTGACCGGCCATCAGCCTGCCCATCGATCCCTTGGCAGCACCCAGGACAGCCCGATTGGCGGGAGGGTCTAGGCTGTCGGCCGGCACCCTGGAGGGTGGGGAGACCCGCCGAGCCGGGGCGAGCCAGCTGCTGGGAGGGACACGGCCCGGGTCCAGCGTCTGTGCGGTTCCCTGGGCTTCGCGGGGACCCACCACCCCGCCCTCAGCCTGCGAGTGGCTGGGCGGGACGGCGGGGCTCTGTGCCCCCCCACCCCGGCTGTGGCCTCACGGGGGCGGCACCTCTGGCCCCCTGACGTCGTCGCCGTGTGGGCCGTGGCCCCGGGGCCTGCTGTGACCGCAGTTTCTCCACACAGAACCTCTTCGGCAAGATGGCCGACATCCTGGAGAAGATCAAGAAGTAAGTCCTCGGCCCCCCAGCCCGCGGTGTCAGGGGTGCGGCCCCGTCCCCACCTGAGCCCCCCTCTCCCTTCCAGCCTGTTCATGTGGGTCCAGCCTGAGATCACGCAGAAGCTGTACGTTGCGCTGTGGGCCGCCTTCCTCGCCTCCTGCTTCTTCCCCTACCGCCTGGTGGGACTGGCCGTGGGTAAGGAGGCGCCTTGCCCCGGGTCAGGGCTGCCACACAGGTGAGGGGGTGAGGCGGGGGTCCCGGCCTGCTTCCCAGCAGAGCGTCCGCAGATGCACAGGCATCCGGAGGCCAGCTTAGCGCACGCTTACGACAAGCTCATCCTCTGCTTCCAAGAGACTCCCCGCTTTCCCACCGAGCAGAGGGGCTGGTAGGCGTTGGGTATGGGCGGCGGTCAGCCAGCTCGGGTCATGAGGGGTCAGGTCGCGGGAGGAGTGACGTAGGGGTGGAGATGTCATGGGGGGCGGTGGCCTCGATTCTGCGGGGTGAGGTCCAAGCAGAGGGTGAGGTTTGCGGAGTCTGCTTTGGGCAGGTCAGGAACAGCCCTTGGTCGGGGTGGAGTGGGCAGGGCAGTGAGGGGCATGAGGCAGGCCGGTGGGTAGGGTTGTGGGGCCCTGGTGGGGCCCTGGGTTGTGGTTGGAGCCCGACCCCCCACAGTCGTGGATGGACCAGATGGTCGGAGGGCTCAGGGTTTGCCCCGAAGGGCTGGTAGGTGATGTTGCCATCCGGGGCCACCAGGGAGTGGGAGGGGCAGACTGGAGACGGGGTGTTCAGAGCTAATTCTGGGGCGGGGAGCATGCAGAATTCAGGGAGCCACTGGCCACAGGTCTGAATGTGCGGGACGTGGCCTTTGCCTGTATTTCAAACCATGGGGTGGCAGGATGACTTGAACTCCCCCACGGGTTCGTGGAAGCGCTGTACCGAACCCCTGTCTGGGGCTTCTGCAGGATAGGGAGAAGGTGTGAGCAGGTGTGGAGGCTGCCCTGAGGCCAAGGCCATGGTCCTGTGGCTGCCCCAACCCACTCGGCTGTCTAACCCAGGAAGCTGCACCTTCCTCCCCAGGCCAGACCCTGAGCAATGACCCACTGTGGGGCCTCAGTGTCCCCAGCCTGGAGCGGGCACAGGGGACTGCACGGGTGGGGGCGAGGGTGGAGGGCTAATCTGAGCTGGGACCTTGTGCTCGGGGGTCGCACAGTGTGGGGGCTGTCCCCACTTGCCCACCAGCCCCAGCATGCAGCTGGGGCTTCGGTCTCTCGTTGGCCCTCCCCCTGCATCCTTTGCCAGGACAAGTGGGCTGGCAGACAGTGTGGCCTTGAGGGAAAGGACTGACACCAACCAAAGTGAAATGCCCTCATCCTGTTTCTCCCGGGGGCCTGGGCCGGCACACGAGCTCTCTGACCCGGGGCTGGAGGGGGGCCCCCAGCTGTGATGGCTGCCGGCCCATCAGGTCAGAGGGCAGCAGGCTAGGGGTGGGTCTCTCATGCTTTCCTTCATGTCACCCTTGGGGGGTGGTAAGTGGCGGGCTTGTTTGCGAGGTGGTGTGATCAACGGGAGCCACCTGAGGGTCCTGGGTGGTGAGACACGTAAGTGGACCCCCCCGTTGGCTGGGTCGCCTCGCCCTCTTACTTCCCCTGCCCTGTGCTGGCCACATCTGGGTTTGGAGAGGCTGGCCGTGTGCCCTGGCCAGGACAGGACTGTTGCTCTTGTCCCCAGGACTCTACGCTGGGATCAAATTTTTCCTCATCGACTTTATCTTCAAACGCTGCCCGAGACTGCGAGCCAAATACGACACCCCCTACATCATCTGGAGGAGCCTGCCCACGGACCCGCAGCTCAAAGAGCGCTCTAGCGCCACCGTGTCACGCCGGGTAGGCTGGCCTCAGGCTGGGGCAGCGGCCCCCAGGCCCGCACGTGCCCTTCCCAGTGCGCGGGGAAGCTGGTGTCTTTCCGATTTTGTGGGGCCCCTGAAACAGACACAGTGCGGCGAGGATTTCCCCGCTCCTGGCGCTGCTGTTTTGGAGGACCCAGCAGCCCCGGGCGCAAGGTGGCCACTGGGGAAGGCCGTGCAGTGCTTACAAGCGGGGCTGGAGGCCCCCTTCCGCCTGAGGGCCCCTCAGACCCTCCCACGGACTTGCCCAGGCCATGCTGGCGCCCAGGCCAAGGGCAGGCAGGGCACGGGGTGCTGGCCATGACTGCCCAGAGCTTGGGGGCCTGAGGAGGGAGCCCTGGGAGCTACCGTCCGGCCCTCTGTTCCCTGGCTCTGAGGCTCGGGCCTACCTCGTGCCCACAGGCTGGTACTAGGCCTGTATTTTATTCATGGTGGAAGGCCTTTGTGGGTGGGTACCGGGCCTTGGGTCCCAAACCCGGACACAGAGGACAAGCTGGCCTAGGTGTTCTCCTCAGGGTCTCAGATGAGTGCGGGAGGTTCTGGGTCCCGTAGGACTCTTGGGGTCTAGGAAGGCTTCCTGAAGGAGGTGACGTTAGATTGCTGTGTTGAGTGAGTGTCGTCTGGGGAGAGGGTGTCCAGTGACCGGTGATAGGAGGGAAGCTCTGGGTCAGGTGTGGGTCAGGCTCCCCAGGTTCCGGGACAACAAAGCTTATTGGAAGCCCACACTCATCATCAGGGTCTTCATGAGCCAGCAGGTGGGCTCTGGTCACGCAGGTGGAGGTGGGCCCGAGGGAGGAGGCGCAGAGGTGGGCAGCCTGGCTCCCTGAGGGCGTGGGAGGGGTGGCCGGGACAGGGCCTTCCGGGGCCTTAAGGCCACTTAGCGCTGGCCAGTCTCCGGAGAGACAGTGAAGGGGAGCGAGGCCATGGGCTTCCCGGGGGGCGGGGGCGGGGGGCGAGGGAGACCCAGCCAAGGGGTGTGTGTAGCTCACGCCACGTGGACCCACTTTTTGCTTGTCTTGGTCACGCGTGTGTCTGTTGTCTCCTCTCTGGTCAGGTGTCAGGCCATGACAAGGTAGGAGGTCTGTGTGGAAGCCCCTCCTCCACGGGGACCTGATGCTGTGCGTTGCTGTGTTGTGACCCTGACCTTCCAATGTCGCTTTCCGCGGCCCATCCCCCGGCCAGTTCCGATTTCGGAAATGCCAGGAATGGCCTCTGTGCCGAGCGCCTGGCGGCTCGGGGTCTGGACTGCGTGTGCCGGGGTGCAGGCTCCGGCACGGCCTTTTGGAGTGGGGACGCTGCTGGGGGAAGAGGGGCCCTCCCCTCTGCTGTGGGGCTTCCCTGCCCCGAGGAAGCAGGGCTCGCGGGGTGAGGAGCGGCCCCCGGCAGGGACCCACATCTGGGCATCCGTGCCTGTCGCTCGTCTGTGTGTACAGTTGGGCGAGGGGGTGGGGGGCCGCGTGCGTCCCTGTGCCCCCCACCCCCAGCTGGCGTGGCTGACGGCGACACGCATGCTCTTGGCAGCTACAGGCGGCCTCCTCCCGGAGCTACGTCTCCAGCGCGCCCACCAGCCTCAACAAGGATGAAGACACTGGCCGCTTCCACGGTACCAAGAAAGGCAGTTTCCACGAGATCTTTAACTTGACGGAAAACGAGCGACCGCTGCCGGGTACGTGTGCGCAGGGTCTGCGGCCCGCCCTGGCCGGGTGGGGAGTTCGCCCCCGTGCTGGGCCCGGCGGCAGGGGCCGGCCCTGGGGGCCCGGGAGGGCTCTTGGCAGGCGGCGGGAGGAGCCGGGTGCTCCTGGGCCGCTCGGGGGGCCCATCCTTCTGCAGTGGATGGTTGAGCTGCAGGAATTCAGAGGGTCCCGCAGAGCGCGGCTCAGAGCTGCTCCCCAGCTGGGGCCTCACACGAGCAGGTGCGGCCCCCGCGCACCCCAGCCGTGACCTGGTGGACGGCAGCTGGGTGCCCAGGGAGCTGGGCTCTTCGAACCGCCTGGCGGGCCGCAGAAGGAAGCCGCAGAGAGCTAAGCTTTGACCTTGTCCCGCCCCCATCCTGCTGACCGAGGGCGTGCAAATGTCCCCGTCATGGCCGCGGTTCGATCCATTTGCACAACCTGAGCCGTGTGCTTCTCCTTCGAGGGGACGAACGTCCCCGCCGACTCACGCGCCGGAGCAAACCCCAGCTCTCCAGGAAGGCGGAGGGCGCCGGTCTTCCTCCCGCGGGCTTATCGGGGGGTGGGGAGCGTAGCGTGTTGGTGCATCCCGAGGAGCCCGGGCTGACGGGTCGCCTCTGTCCCCGCTAGTGTGTGAGAACGGCTGGCGCTGCTGCTTGATAAACCGCGACCGCAAGATGCCCACCGACTACATCCGCAACGGCGTCCTGTACGTGACGGAGAAGTGAGTGCCTCCGTGCCGCTCCTGCCGAAGGGACGGGCCTCAGGGACGGTCCCGGCTCTCGCTGGACGCCCCAGGATGCGTGACGCTGCGAACACGAGTCAGCTGCGCTGTAGACCGTGGAGTCCGCTCTAGAAGCGATAAAACTCTCTCTCAGAGTGAAATCCTTTGTAAAAAGACAGTGCGTGGTGCCAGGTGGGAGGGGCTCTCTGCTCGGGGTCGCCGCCGGCCCCACGGGGGACCGTGGTGGCCGCAGCCCGGGCGGGCGTCCCTGTGCCGTGTCTGGATCATGCCTCTGTCCTTTCTCCCCTCGTAGTTACTTGTGCTTCGAAAGCTCCAAATCCGGTTCTTCCAAGAGAAACAAGGTCATCAAGCTGGTGGACATCACAGACATCCAGAAGGTCAGTATGGGCCCCCGCCGTTCTCCGTTACCCCTTTAGGATTCCGGAGGAGAGAGGCCACAGGGCCACGAAGCTGATGGGCTTCACTTGGAAGTCAGATATGTTCACAGTGAGGGAGTGATGCTATTCGGAGACATTGGGGTACCCACGTCAGGGCTCCCCTTCTAGACGGTTTCCATGTAGACACTGGCTCCCATTCGTGTCCATGTACCACGGGCCACCCCACGTCCTCACGGGTCAGCGCCAGGTGCCTTCCCACAGGGGGGGAGGGGGGAGGGGGGAGCACAGCAAGGTGGGCCCGGCCAGGCGCCTGGGCCCCCTTATCACTGTGTATCCACCCCTCGGCCCTGAGATGCTCCCCCCACCGTGGGCGTGTCCTCAGCCAGTGTTCCTCGAGTGTGGTCACGTGGAGTGGGCAGGGCATGTGCAGTACCCAAACGAAGGCCTGGCACACACACTTGGGCAAGGGTGGCTGGGCCCACCTGCCCCCCACCTCCAGGGTCTGAGCGTCTGGGGTACAGGCTAGCCTGGGCCGGGGGTGGGCCCCAGCTCCCCCCACAGAGAGATGTGCAGCTGTTAGGACAGGAGGCGCCCCCCCACACGCACTGCCCCTCAGGGAGACCCCGTCCCACTCGGGCCTGCTGGGAGAGGGTGGGATGGGGAAGGCGGCAGGTCTGGTCTCTTGGTCAGGAAGTCAGTCCGTCCTGTCGTGCTCAGGAAGGCTGGGCTCCGTGGGCCCCTGGGAGAATGCCCTGGGGCCTGGGGACAGGCCTGGCCCTGATCCTGGGAGGGGCCCAGGCTGACCGCGCGCTGTCGTCCCTCAGTACAAGGTCCTCTCTGTCCTCCCGGGCTCAGGCATGGGGATCGCGGTGTCAACGCCATCAACCCAGAAAGTAAGTGCTGGGCAGGAAGCTGGGGAGATGGCAGGGTGGCCCGGGGGTGTGGCTGTAAATCCCTGGGGCATGCGGGGCCACCGACCGGCTGGGGACCCAAGGGGCCCCCTCTCTTCCTCTTTCCTTCGCTGTGGCCACCGGAGCCTCCTGCCCCTGCACGTCCGGGTCAGGTTCCAGGTTCGGGGCTGAGGCCCGCGGGGAGGTGGGTGGGGCCGGGGGGCCTGGCCTCCGTGGGGGGAGGGGTCTGCCCTTGGGCACCAGACCCTGTGGGGCTCCGCTCGGACCTGGCCTGGGGCCAGGCAAGGCCCGCGTGTCGGGGCGTCTAGTCCTCATGCCAGCCTGGCTGCGCGGGGTCACCCACGGCATCTCCACCCGCCAGCCACTGGTGTTCGGGGCCATGGTGCATAGAGACGAGGCGTTCGAGACCATTTTCAGCCAGTACATGAAAATCACGGCGGCCGCGGCATCTGGCAGCGACAGCTAGTGTTGATTCTCCCGGGACGATGCTGGAAGGGTTTTGTTTTGGTTTTGGTTTTTTTGTTGTTTTTTTTTAAACAATTTGATAGTGGAAAAACAATTGGACATCCTCCTGATCTTTTGCAATAATTCCCCTCGATCTGTGGTTTTTATTGTGTTTACCCCGCGATTCACGGACCCCTTCACGCAGGGGTTGGGGCCCTCAGGCGGTGCCCGCCCATCTCACGGGTGAGGCGTGTCTCACGGACACATGGACACGGAGGGCAGGGGATCCTCGGAGGCCAGCGGAAAGGAGGACACACAGGACCCGCCCGCCCCAGAGGCCGAAGCTCCTCCACCCCGAAGCTGTAGCCGAGGAGCACCGGTGGTCCCTCTTCCCGGGTGTGAAGGATGTCGGTGATGAGCGACTCAGAGGCGCCTTCGCCCACCACCCTGAACCGGCCAGTGGGTCTCGCTCCTTCCGCTAGCGAGGCCTGCTGCGAGTCGTCAGAGGGGGGCCCGGGGCAGGGGTGCGGCTTGATCTGGCTTAGGCTCCGTGCTGACCGGCCGCGGGGCCCCACCTGCCACGAAGGCCAGTGGCCGTCTCGGCCTCCCGAGCCGCCAGGAGGCCCGGGGTCGGTGGCCCCCGTGCCTCCCGAGCCGCCAGGAGGCCCGGGGTCGGTGGCCCCCGTGGCCGTGGAGTGGCGCGCAGGCAGAAGCACATCTTTTTCACACTCTGCTCTTTGGAAAGCCCCGTAGGCCATCTACCAAGGCTTTGGGGGGCACTCTGAGCTTGGGTTGCTCTCAGATGGAAATCAACCGCAGCATGGCTGGCGCCGGCCTCACGGCGGAAGCCACCTGTGTTGGTGAGGGAGGGGGCCCTGCGGCCTGGGGTGGGAGCGGCCCGGACACACGGTGGGCCAGGCTTGCGGCCGGTCTGCCCGTGGTTGCTGCGCGGGGGGGTGCTCGGGAGGTCACCGGCTGCGGGGAGTGACCGTGAGCAGAGCCCAGAGGCTTGGGGCCGGACGGTCCGCACCCCTGACGTCTGACAGGGTCCTGGCAGGCCCACCCTCGTGCCAGCACACCCCGGGGTGGGAGTGAGCCGCCCCCCTCCCTGCGCCCAGCACCAGTCTGGGCCCCGCCCAGGACGCCAGCGCGCTTGTGGCCGAGGCCGGAGGCTGCCGTCTGCAGGCTGGGTTCACTTGGGGACAGGCCTGTGACCTCTGTGAAGGACAGGCTGAGATTGTGGCGGTCAGCGCGACCGCCCTCCTGGTCAGCACACTTCCAACTCCATCAGTCCAGTTCCTCGGCTTGTCCTGAGTCCTTTGGGCATCACGGAGATTGTTGTTTTTTGAAGAAACAGAAGATTCTATTTTTTACAGAGAGCAAGCTGTTTTTCTTATTTTTGTATCATTTTTCAGATGTAATTTTTACCTTGGCTCCAATCCTAATTTGCTGGTTTGGGTGAGTCTGGTGGCATCGCTCACGTCCCCATTCACGGGGGGCCATGGGGGCCGCACGCCGGGCCCGGGCCGCGCTCCTGGGGAGCTGCGCCGACCAGCCTGATGAAGCACACACCCCACCCGGTCGGTGGGATCGGAGGGCGCCTGCGGCTCCCCCGCCCCGGTCCGGCTGGCGCTGGCGTTCGCGAGATCCCGCGGGCCGGCCTTCCGTCAAACTGAAGGCAGCACCCACTCTAAGTCGCGGCTTTGGCTCCCCCCCGTGGGCGCAGGCGGGCCGGCTCCCGAGGCACCCCCGGGACCCTCCCTCGGTGCCTGAGGCGAGGCGGGGTGGGCCCTGAGCGGCCCCCGGGGACGGGCTTCAGGGTGACGCCTGTGGGTGCCACTCACACCCCTCCCCGGGCCCGCCAAGGGGTCGATGTGGTGGGGCTCGCCCTCCTCAGCAGAGCGGGTGGTTTGGTTCGAGTCCCTTTTGAGGAGAAAGGGAGATGAAAACTGACCACGTGCGGGGCGCGGCCGCGGGGGCCCTGGGGGTCGTGCGCCAGGGGCCGGGCCCTTGGGGAGAGCGCGGCCCACACGGGCTCCCGGCGGCCCGGCAGAGAGAGCCCGGAGTTTCTATCAAATTGTGTAAATCTGGGCAGATATTTAATTTCTATGACTAATCACTGAACTAGAATGAATGTCACATTTTTTATGTCCGAAGCTTGAGTCTATTTTGGATCTGTAAATAATCGTTACTGCTGTCACTTTTGTTCAACAAAAGGATTGTACTGTATGAAGAACCGATGAAAAACCCCCGTAACATTTTTTTAAGAAAACTTCGTTTGTTTAAAGAAGTCTTGTATAAATTATAATTTTTATTTAAATAAACCTGAAATGCTTTGTGCTCAGGGAGGGTGGGGGTGCTCGGCCTCCAGGGCGGGGCCCCTGTGCATCGCACGCAGCTGAGTGGGGCAGGCGGGCACCCCTCGGGTGGCCCACGACCCCTGCAGCTGCCAGGGCTGGAGGGTAGCGGGGCTTTGGGCTCCAAAGCTGTCTGGGTGAGGGGTGAGGTGGGTGCCGGGGAGGCGGGCTGTGGGGCGGGGCCATGAAGGGGGATGGGGGCATGGACATCGAGGGGAGGCAGGGGCCCTGGTTCCCGAAGACTGGAGGGCCAGGTTGGGTCATCCAGGGCCTGGCGCTGGGTGGCCAGGCAGTGGGACCATCACTCTGCCGGGATATGGAGGAGCCTGGAAAAGGGTTCTCGGGGTTGGGGTGCAGGTCCTGGCCCCACCTGGGCATGACTCCCCTGGGACCAGGTGCTACCTGCAGCCCTCCCCCTGGGGTCTGGGCAGAGGGGTCCCTGGTGGCACCTGTGGCTCAGCCGGTCCAGACACTGACAGTGCGGACAGGGATGCAGGAACTGCTGACATCTGAAACCACCAGTCCTGTGTGGAGCTGAGCTGGGCACAACTAAGTGCACCCAGCCTCCTGCACCCCGAGCCCACGGGAGCCCCACCCAGGTCCCACGAAGTGGGCCAGCCCTGCGCTCAGAGGTGTGGCCTTTGTATCCTGCATCCACCCACCTGCTCATCCATCCATCCGTTGGTCTTTTCATCTATCCATCCATCCGTCCATCCACCCATCCATTGCAGGCACTGTCCTAGGGGCTGGGACGTTGCTGTGACCGGCCAGTGGTCCCTGGGGGACCGGGCACCCGGTGAACACTCTCGGGACTGCTGCACCCCCCCACCCCGACTCTCCTGATGACAAGCCCCTCTGCAGCACAGCCCCAGAGGACAGGCATGCGAGCTCCTGGCCCTGCGGGGACGCCTGCTCTGGGGATGGATACGGGTGAGGAGGGGTCGGAGCTCAGGGCGTGGGCAGCATGGGCCCCTCCCTGCCCACCCTTGCTGATGGGGCTCCCGGTTTGCCTGTATTATTATTTAATATGTCAGTAAAGTAGCACAAATAAGTCTAATTGCTATTGTTAAGAACTACTTGGGGACTGTATTTCGGTAGAATCGGTATTGTTGGCAGTCTGTATGTTTTAGTTTGTGTGTTTACAGCAGTCCGACAGCTGAAGCTCTTGGCTTCCCCCTGGGGCGTCCGTGAAACCAAAGGAGGTGCCTTGGTGGCCTATGGTACTTGGGGAGACCGAGCCCCTGGCCGGCTGCTGAAATCTGCCCCCGCCACACACTGGAGCTGGGAAGCCCCCTCTCCTGCAGGGTCCCGGCACCTCCTCCATCGTGCCGGGGGTGCGGGGCTCCCAGCACACGGGTGGCAGAGGTGGGGGGCGGGCACCCTGGGCCCCGCTCCTTTAGAGACACTGTCGTCCCTTCTGTACTGGGAGTCCGCGCTCGCTGGCACAGACGGGGCACGAAATGGGTAAGGTCCTAAAGGGAGCTACTCAGCTATTCCTACTTGGAGATGATGGTACAGTAGAAAACCCCCAGATCTGGAGGTAAGGTGTTTCTTTAAAGATTTTATTTATTTGACGGAGAGAGCACAAATGGGGACCGGGGAGGGGGCGGGGGGGAGAGCAGCAGACCCCGGCAGAACCCTGACACGGGGTTCGATCCCAGGACACCGGGACCATGACCTGAGCCGAAGGCAGACCCTTCACCAACTGAGCCACCCAGGCGTCCCATGTGGGTAAGTTTTCATAGTAAGAGGCATGTTTTCTGGATACCAGATGATACACTAAAAAAATCTTAAAAATCACATTCCTATGTAAAAAAAAAATTTTAGAATAGTCCCAAAATATAGTTTTTAGGAATATAGCTGAACAATTCAGAGATTGTGGGAAAATTATAAAACCACTTGGGTGGCTCAGTCGTTAAGTGTCTACCTTCAGCTCGGGTCGTGAACCCAGGGTCCTGGGATCGAGCCCCACGTCGGGCTCCCTGCTCGGCGGGAAGCCTGCTTCTCCCTCTCCCGCTCCCCCTGCTTGTGTTCCCTCTCTCGCTGTCTCTCTCTCTGTCAAATAAATAAAATACTTAAATTAAAAAAAACTATTCGAAAGACCTGAGTGAGGACTTATAAGTGGGAATGTATGCAGTGTTCCTAGACTGGAAAGTTCAGCTTCATGATGGAAATACCTTCTCAGACATGCAGAATTAAGGAGCAAGTTCCAGAAAATGACACACAGTGTGACTCCTTTGAAGAGCAAAACCTGCGGAATAAGACGTTGCAGGGATTGTAAGTGTGTAGGGAAAGCAAGCACCTTTCCTGTGCCTGCTTGGGCTCGGGGGCTGTGGCCCGCCGAGTGAGCAGGCAGGTGAAGAGGAGAAAAGGCAAACAATTATTTGGTGCTAATAGCTTATTTTTTGAACATGGAGACATTTATAGAAAAAGATCGGAAGACCCAAAGAAGCAGTTAGACCTTGGGGTTTATGCACCATTTTAACAAAAGGGCAAATTCATCAAGACGTGACAAGACGAAGGAAAAGGTGTTTGGGCTTCTAAGGTAACAGGACTTTATTGGGTAATTTCATGTGGGGAAGTGAGGGAAGGTTAAGGGTTGTGCAGACCCATCACGGCGCCGACCGTCCCAGTGGTAGAGGCGGTTCAGCTCCTGGCGTGAGAGGAAGACATGCCTTCTCAAGGGGAAGTTCACGTCCTTTTCAGCAGACGGGGTGGGGGGGGGGCAGAGGGCGCCCCTGCATTTGCTGCTCCTTGACGGTCTGCAGCTCAAAACAATCCTTATGCCAAAGTGGCCTATTTCAGGGTAAGCTGTTCTGACCCCCTCACGTGGATAAACAAGGGAATGGTACACTGGAAACGGGGGTCCCCCCACAAGGGGAACACGGGGACTTTAGGGTGAAGTTCTGTCTCTTGGTCTGGGTGGTAGCTACACATCGTTCGTTTTATTCTTGTTCTTTCAGTTGTTACAAAGGTGGGAGCACCTGGGTGGCTCGGTCGGTTGGGCGTCGGACTCTTGATTTCGGCTCAGGTCATGATATCAGGGTTGTGGGATCGAGCCTGTGGTCGGCTGGGCTCCGTGCTCAGCGGGGAGTCTGCCTGGGATTCTTCCTCTCCCCCTGCTCACATGCACCTGCTTGCTCTCCAAAAAATTAAAAAAAAAAAATGTGCATATGGAGCGCCTGGGTGGCTCAGTCCGTTGAGCGGCTGCCTTCGGCTCAGATCATGATCCTGGGGTCCCGGGATCGAGTCCCGCATCGGGCTCCCTGCTCGGTGGGGAGCCTGCTTCTCCCTCTCTCTCTCCCTCTGCCGCTCCCCCTGCTTATGTTCCCTCTCTCTCTCTTTGTGTCAAATAAATAAAATCTTTAAAAAAAAAATGGGTATATGTGTTCTCACAAAACATGCTCTACTTTGAACAAGAATTTATAAAAGAGAAAAAGAAACTCTGCCCAAAGTAACTTTATTTTGTCTTCCCAAACATATCAGAGCAAATACGCCATTTTCCAATCTTGAAACCAGCAAGATTACAAGGAAATGAAGCCACCCTTTCAGTCCATACTTGCCGGTTACACAGGATTGTACCAGAACGGTCACGCCCGCCCACCGGGCAGCAAGGTGCTGGGCACCAGGTGCTCACTTGGGGAGGAGAATAAGCAGGAATAGGGTCGGAGCGTAATGGCTGCCGTGGTGTTTTTGCACCAATAAGTCACGAAGTTAAAACATAGACTAACCTTCTAGATGATCCTAAGTTTTCACTAACCCACCATCAGTTCCATTTTTTTTTTTTTCCCAAGTCCCTGGAGTCCAGGTGTGGGGCGTTCCTGGACATCCGCGCCTCTCGCCCACGTGGGAATGTCTGAACGGTCCTTGCGTCCTGTGTGCAGATCATCGAGAACTCTCGGGGTGTTCTGACAATCACACACGCCCAGAAGAGCCCCAAGGCCTGCGGTTCTGGACGTCGGTGTGCGGGCAGCCGTGCGGGAAGCCCGGGGCAGGGCCGGCTCTCTCGGGGAACAGAAGATGCTTACCGTGGCCTGGACTGTTTTTCTAAAATTGGCAGTGGGTTTTAGGACAGACCAGTCCTGTTTCGGGGAAACTTGCGAAGGAGCACATTCCACGGCGCGGTTCTGGCTGGCTGGGCCCTGACGCGCGGCCCTGCTCCCACACGGAGCTGCCCGTCCTCTGGTTTCTTCCAACCAGCAGCGGGCACTGAGAATCACAAATGGCCAGTGCAGCGGTCCACTCTGGACCCAGACTCGGCGCCCACCCACGACCTCGTAGACCGTGCCATTTTTGCAATTACTTGACAATACGGTCTGTTGAAAAAACCACTGTTAAAGCTGCCCTTTTGTCTGACCCGGACGGGACTGAGTGATAAAGCAGGAGATTTCGTGTATACTTCAAAATACAAACGCTGCAAGTGAATTCTAAAAACGTACGATGCCTGTCGATGCCAACAGGACCAGCTGCACCTCCGTAAGCCAAGCGCACGACGGTGCGTCAGTAACGACCTCCTCTGACAGTCGGGCTGCCACTCTCCGCGGACCAGAGTTCGGGCTCTGCAGCTCGTATTTCAGACGGAGCTATTTTCGATGCATCTTCCACATACCTAAGTGTGCGTACAAAGAAAACGAGGCCAGAGCGCGGACGAGGGCCGCCCCAGGGGCTGGGGGGGGGCACAGCTACAGGGAGGCCCCGGCCGCTGCGGCTCCGGCTCGTCAGCAGACGTCCATGGCGCTAACCACGGGGACCGCGGTCTTCCGGTTGAAAAGGACATCATTTTCAATAAATATATAGACTCACGTGTGCAGAAAAGCACAAGTCTGGACCACGTATGTGGACTTGGGGCCTGCACCCAAGGAGCCGCGGGCACTCGGGACCCCACCCCCGGCGGGGCTCGAGCACTCGGGTTTGAAGTGAACACAGAATTCACGAAGTGCATTTGTATGTCCTGCGCACCTGCTTCC